TACCCCTCCCATCGAATATGTTAGTTTCCTGCTTACCGCGTAAACAACCCGCTCAACAATATAGTCTGCCTGGCAACTGATGATGTTAGCCAATCAGCTTGCCTTGCTTACTTTAACATGATTGGACACTGTACCCGTATATATACCGGTGCCACCCCTGGGCGGAAAAAGAAGCCAGGTAGAAGCCCAGAAGTAAAAGCCCAAAAGGAGCCGCGGAGAGCGGACCGGTAGAGGCTTTGGGGCAGACTGAAGCACAAAAGGAGCCGCGGGGAGCGGACCAGAGGAGGCTTCAGCTGGGAGAACCCAGGGCAGGCTGTACGGAGAAGGAAAATAAAAAGAAAAGGTTGTCCACTACCAGACTTTGTCGTGTGTCCTTCCTGCCGGCCGGGAGCGGACATCGACACCTATGCCATATGAAAATTGGAGAGGAAGAGAAGAAAGGAGATCAGGAAATGTGGAAGGGAGAAGAAAAACCAGGGAAGAAGAAAATTAAACAAGAAAAGAGTGGAAAAACCAACAGAAGGCAGGATAAAGAAAACAAAATACTTTTAAAGAAGCAGAAACCCCAGGAAAATCCAGAACAAAGACATGAACAAGGAAACAAACAAACAACAGAACCCCTCCTCTAGCTGCTACAGTGTTAATCCAAGATGTCCACACAAATCTCTTTATGCTGGGCTTGTAGTGTGACTACAAGGTGCCTGCTGGCCTCTCCTCTGTGGACTGCTTAGGTACCTTACAGTGAGCATGAGAGATGCTGATTCCTCTGGATTGGCTTCCCAGCTGCTAGTTGTGCTTTGGGCATGGCTAACCGCAGGTCTCTGTTTCTGTCCCAAGACCTGACCTCCCCAGTTCATCTGGGAAGAAGCGGATGTTCTATAGTTTGCCCAACACTGAGTTCTCTGTTGACTTTCACCAGGGACCTCTCATTGTCCCTCCCTTCACTCCATGTAAATCTTGCAGTTCATCTCTGTTTCCTCCAAGGGTTTTTGCTAGAAGCTTTCTGACCCAGGTAACCGCTTTGTGTCCTTCCATCTGATGGCCTTTATCCCTGTCTCAAGAGCTTTGCTCCTGAGCTGGAGAACCTAATACAGCCTGCAGTCTTGTCAGGGAATCATTGTTTCCGGTAAGGGATCACCAGACGGGATTTTGCACTGTCTCTGATCTTCTGGTGTTTGCACTGGTGGTGCAAACAATAGGACAGTGCCTCTCTGTTAAGGCTCTGCAGAATCTCCCTTTCTTCCTCAGGTCTCCCAGGCTGCTCCCTGCCAGACAGTTCCCCGTTTCATACAGTTCATGCCTTCAGCTGTTCTTAGCTTGGGAAGGCGGACTTCCTCTGCCCTCTGAAGGCCTTTTGCCTAGTGCAGTGCAGAAGTCCTCTGACCCAGGAGTCATTTTCTCTCCCTGCTCTCATTGTCCTTTCTTGTTCACTGTGCAGTGTCAGATCTCCTGGCTCTTTGCAGTCCCCAGCAGGGAGGTTCTGGGGGGGATCCCCTGTGGGAATCTGCTGGAAAGTGAGGGCAGCACATCGCACGTCTCACAGGCATGGCACTCCCGTTTTATGTGGGGGGGGGGGAATGGGTGACAAACGTTTTCTGGATCAAGCAAACCTTATTTGTCCCCACGGTCTCACAGGTGCTGCTTATTCCTGGAACAGTATTGCTTTCAAAACCCGAGTACACATGGGTGTGACATCATACACCGTTCTCTGGATTTTGGTTTCTCTGAAACCTTCACTTGCCTGTGTCTCACTCAGTGATTCTGTTCCTGGTCAGGAGGTAGGGGGGATTGTGAACCTGTTCTATCAGGCAGGTCATAACTGAAGAGCTAGCTCCCTACCTCAGATGGCCCATGCACTGGACTGGTGTGGGGGGACATGCTGTGATTGAGGAATGGTGATTTCCCCTATCAAGCTTCCCAGACACTGGATTTAACATTATCAGGATGCTGGGCCATCAGGAGCCACATGCCAACTGCCAGTTCCAGGATAATATCATTTCATCTGGGACTGAGAGAACACTAAGCTGCCCCAGAAGCCATGTCTTCAGGGAGAAGTCTCACTTCCAGACCTGCGTCCTCAGAAGCTATTCACTCTACCACCTAACTAGCACTCAGTGAGTCTTAGTCACACTCTGGCATCTAACAGAGAGAAACAGAAGGAGGAGGGGAAGAGGAGGAAGAAGATAAGGAGGAGGAGGAAAGAGAAAAAGAGGAGGAAGAGCAGGAGAAGGGGAAAACGAAGAAAAAGGAGAAGAGGCAGAAGAAGAGGAAGGAGGAAAAGAAGAGAAAGAAGGAGAAACACAAGCAGTATTGCACAGGGCTTCTTTTGTGCTAGGTGCGTTCTGTGTACCCTACAGATAATTCATACAGCCTCACATCAATTGCAGGTGGTGCTGGAACCGAGTTTAAGTGCAAGCCAGGCAGCTGTAGTTTGTGTGTAATTACTTTTTCCTCTGCACCCATCCTCCTAAAACACAGCTGGAGTTGGAGCAGCAGGCCCAGAAGCTCTTCATTTCCAGTCTCTGTGGCTGGGAAAGCCTGCAAGGAGGGCTTTGGGATGCGTGTTTCTCATGAACCTTATGCCTCTCTCTTCCAGTTCACGGAGTGAGAGAGTTAACCGTCAGCCTCCGCGTCTGCCCACCTGAAAATGGGGCAAATTGGAAGGCTGTTGTACAGATTAAATAAAATATACAATGCTTGGAATAGTGCCTGGCACATAGTAAGTGTTCAGTAGTTTATTGTGGATGAATTTTTTTTAACCATTTTGATTTTATTCTTTGATTCTTTGCTCATTCCGGTGATATTGCTTGAGCAGAAGATGAAGAGGAATTTTCTTGTGGGTAAGTTTAGAGGCATGATGTGTACACACTTGTACTCCAAGTTTGTGCCATGGATGAGGTGTGGTAAGAGCAGATGATCAAAACCATGCGTAGTGCATGGGAGGACCAGGTGTTTTTGATCTGTGCGGCCCAGTGAAGCATGTGGAATCGGGACAGTCTCGGTCACTTTCTGCTCCACTCAGGTAAAATAGAAAGAGCACTTGTGACTTGAAGGAGGAGAGGTTGAGCCACAGCTTCATGGGTTCCTTTCAGGGGCAGCTGGTTGCTAGGCAGACACGTGTGATACAAGGGCCTGTGAGAGGTCCTTATTTCACTGACTGTGCTCCCTTTGAGGGAATTAAAGGGCTCTCAGACTGTTCTGAGTGGGAGACTGGCTCCTGAAGTCCTCTCTGGGTTCCTGTCTGGTCATGTGATCCGTTCTCTCTGCCCGCTCTCACCATGATGCCCTGAGCCATGAGACCCTCACCAGAGGCGGATCACTGGCTCAGCTGGTCTTTGGTTTCCAGCCTCTCAAACTGTGGACTAAATAAACCTCTTTTCTTTATAACTTCCCCGATTGAGACATTTTATTATAATAATGAATACCAGACTCACAGAAACTTCCTGGGACGTCATGGGGTCATATACTCTACTTTCTCAGAGTGTGGCTGCCCTCCTGAGCCCTGCCTGGATGACTCTATCCTGTGTATTCAGTAACTTTGGCTGCCATCCTGGGTCACGTCTGATCGCATTCCTTCTAATGTACCTCGCCTAGAACACAGGAGAGTTAGAGGAGGACACAATGTGTTCTCCCCTAATCCAGATTTGCCTAAAGGCAGAACATTGCCTAGGCTTACAAAACACCTCACTGCCCCTTATTATTCCTCATTTCACTGATTTGCTTTTATCTCTTCCCAGGTGCTGTGAGCATTTGGTCAGAAGTATAGTTACTGTCAGCCTGGGAACTTAGGCTTTGCTACATTAGTCTTTAGCTATGTGTGTCTAGAATTCTCTCCTCTTAGGATCATGAGAACTGAACATTGAGGCTAAAGACAATTGCTCCACAACCAGAATCTGTCCTCTTCTGCCATCCTGCTGTTCATCTGGCCGCACATACAGAACCAGCACATTCACACACCTCTACACAGCATGGGTGGCACTGGATAGGCAGACAGGAATTTCCCAGGAGTGTAGAGGCCAGTGCGCTTCCCAGCTCCATGACACCAGTTGTGAGATTTTCTTCTTCTACCTTTGTAAGATTGACTGGTAAAGAAAACAAATCCAAATGCACTTGGACAATTTGCTACACATACAGCAAAGCGAGATCAGCATGGTATTAGGTCCTAGGTTTGCGAGTTGGGACTCAAACAGGGAGGCACATGATGGGCAGCAGGTGTGCTGGTCACTTGGCTGCTAAGGAGTTAACATTAAACTACAACCAAGTGCTCCTGCAGCTTGCCACAGAACCTAAAGGGCCGGATGCAAATGCTCATGCTTGACTGAAGCTGCGGTAGCAGTGGGGACAATGCACCACAAGCCAGCACCTCTCCTTGTTTCAAGAAGAGCTTCGGGGCTGGGCTGGCTGATGCACACCAGTAGTCTCAGCACTTGGGAGGCTGAGGCAGGAGGAAGATCACCACAAGTTCAAAGCTAGCCTCGGGTACATAGCGAGGTTAAGGCCAGCCTGGACTACATAGCTAGACTCTGCCTAAAATAATAAATAAATAACTAAAGGGCTCCAGGGCTAGACTTGAGTCAGCCTGCAGTCAAGCCTTGCTTATGAAGTCCATGTAGGATATGCAGAGATTGTCAAGAGGGCCTTCTCTCCACAGGCGGTAGGACGGGACCCTTCATATAAAGAGATGATTCTAAAGAAGCCTCTTTAAGTGAAGAAGACAACCTACTTCGCTTACTGAAGTAAATAGGCACCAAAGAAACCATTTTGAAGTGAGAAAAACACCCAAAGTTGTCTTCTTGAGAAACCAAATTCAATTTTTGAGAGGGTTTCAGCTTACCTTCCCAATCCAAGATCGTACGATTTTGGGGCATTTAGAAAAGAATACAAAAAGCTAATTTTGTGAGCACATCACAGTGTCTGAGTTTAATCTGAATCCCCGAAGTCTGGGAAAGGTGGGAGGACCAGTCGTCTTCAAATCAGAGGGTGCTCACTGTTCTCTCCTGTCATGGCCCGGGGTCTCCTGCGACACAGCACTCCAGCTGGAACATGCAGTAGGCAACTAACATTTCGCTTCCTAAGCACTCAAATCTGCAGATGCCTTTTCTATAACATTTCGTGAACCTTACTGATAACACTGGATTCAAACCTGCAAGGAAAATGAATGGAAAGGTAATTCACTGTGGGATGACCGAATGGCTTCAGTCCTTCACGCTTGGTCTCACTGAATTCCAAGGAGACTTGGTCATAATAATTGATCCTGAAATTTAAAATATATTAACTAGTATGATGGATGGAATTGTGTTGCCCCTATACTTATATGTTGGAAGCTTAACCCCCACTGTGACTGTATTAGGAGACAGGTGACATTAGGTAAGACGATACGGGCAGCACCTAACCCAGAGAGACTGGTAGCCTCACCCTGTGACTGAGTTGATGGGCTTGTTGGTGGAGGACACAATGAGAAGCCTTGCGAAGCTATTTACAAGTTAGGAAGAGTGAACGTCCTCATAAGGAACAGAACCAGCTGGCACCTCAACTGTGGCCTCCAGTTTCTGGAACTATGTGAACACAAATTTGTTTAAACTATGCAGTGTTCAGTATTTCACAATGGCATTGAACTTAGACAACTAGTAATCTGGGAGTTCTCCCGAATTACTTAGTTAACCCAAATAATCAAGTTAGTGATAGACTCAGGCTTACACTAACTGTTCACTAGGTATTATTTATTTATTTTAAACCCATTTTTAATAGATCTTGTAAATCAAAGACTGTTGAGGTGTATATTTGAATATGACACAGATCTTAGCCTCAATGAATACACAGTATACACAAAAAGAAAAGAAATGCGAGTATCTCTGGGGTGACAAGACACATAGGTGCCATGAGGTGTTTATGACATGGAATGGTTTGGAGAGTTTGCTGGAGGGTGAAATCATTTGTAAGATTTTGGAAATCTTACTTAAGCTCAAAGCAGTTGAGGTAAGCTTACAAATTTGTGTGCCTGCTACTCTTCCAAGCAGTCAAATATACACGTTCTTCCTTCTTCACATAGACGGCACTAAGAAAACAATAATTCTAGTGTTTGCCCATCTGTAAAAATTTTGAGCAGTGTGTGCCTTATCCAAGTCAGAAGGCATCATGTTTACCTTGCTGGCAAGGTGGAAGCCAAGAGGATATTCTGTATCACTTTTAGGAAGATAAGGATTGTATAAGGTGACAAGAAAGTCCTGAGCGATGACAAGCGCTGAGGATGCACAGCGCACTGATGGGAATGCTGTAGGTTACCTGGAGTGTTGAGTGGAATCTATGAATCCACTCCCACACACCATAGTGGAGTTGGTGCCATCAACAGCGTCAGGAAAGCCTGGGTCCTACTTGTTTGAGTCACATGACTTGAAAACAAAATCTGTTTCATCTGCCTAGAGAGTACTTCAGGGAGGCTAGACAATCACAGGAGTATTTGACAACATAAACATTTTGACTGACTCAATAAAATCAAGTAAAGAAAATATTCAAGGTGAGATTTCTAAATCAGAAAAAACCAGTCACGCTCTCCTGCATGGCCCCTTAGTGGCTGCCTCATCTGATCAGGTATTCTTCTATCATCAAAGCCCAGCGATTCTCTTGAAATGAGTAGGTTCAAAACTGTTTCTCTGTGTGCCTGAGGCTCTACAAAGAGTAAAACTGCCATCAGCAATTTTAGTACTTTAGAAAACTTGGTGGTTGGACTTTTCATTGCTTGCTGTTTTGACTCTTATCCGTGGCTATGTTCTTGAACCAGAGACAAAACAACAGTGGCGGGACAGACATATTTTACATACTACCCCTTTTAATCTTTGTGAAGCCCCACAGTTACTGTTTTCATACTGTAAGAATTTTCATGCTGAAGAAACAGTCTCAGAGAAACTCAGCCTTGGCCAGCACACAGATTGGAGAGCCATGACCTAAACCCAGGTCTTGTTGACATCAAAATTTAGTGATGCCCTTTCTACTTGGTGAACTGAGGAGCCCTCGGTGGGAGCACATTCATAACGCTGCTCAGCGGGCTTGCTTTTTGCTTTTGTATGGAAGCCTCCTCTTTTCCCTTAGGAATGTCTCACCTTACCTGCTAGCACTGGATAGCAAAAGAAGAAAAAGGCTGTCAGGAGGAGAGAAGGCTTCATGGTGGGGGCTGGGGCTCCTGTGAGGAGGCTGGTGGCAGCCCTGACCCCGGCCTTCAGAGGACAGGGCAGGGGAAGACTAAGCACAGCTGCCCGTGTGAGCCCTGCAGGTCCGCGACCTGCCCTGCTCCAGGAGGGTGTGCTGCGCTAAGCCCCGGAGGCAGCAGGGCTGGCAGCACTCTCCTGGGATGGCACTGACTGTCCTGGCTTGTTCCGTGGTGTTCCCCATGCACAGCAGGCAGGACTGTCTGCAGCCTGGTTTCACAGAAGTGCTAAGCAAGGCCTGAGAGCGACATGATTTCTCAGACTCAAGCAAATGAAGTTTATTCACTTCGCAGAGTTGACTCATGCTCCTCAAGAAAGCTTTGTCGATGTCTGTTTTGGTTTGCAGTTATAAACCTAAAACTCTTTTTTCTTATTTGTTTGTCATTAATTATTGTTTTAACTGCATAAATGTAGGGGCATGTGATAATTTATATGTGGGTATAATACAATGATAAAACCAGGGTAAGTTCAAGGAGATAAACTCAATGTTTTTGTAACTAGATGTCCTGCTCTTTTGTAACTTGATGTATACTGCACAGAGCAGTGTAAATTCTTCACAGTGTTTTTGGAATGCAGTACAGTCCATTGAGGTCATTTAAAAATAATTGCCATCGTTTAAAAAACCCTTATTGAGGCACAGATGACACAAACTGCAAATACTAAAGTGTACAGCTCGACAATGTTGCCGCATAAGTGTACTTTTGTGGAAGCACCATCACGAGATAACGAACACATTGGCTCCCCCAACATTCTTTAAGCCTTCTGTGTCTCCTCCTGACAGTCTCTTCCTCCTCTCCCCTTTCTCAGGAGTACATGTCTGCGGTACTTAATGATCACATTCCTCAGGAGGAACCGGTACATGTGCGCAATACACCTGAATTCTTCTTTATTTTTCATCCCCTACTCTTTTTCTCCCTTTCTGCTCCTTCCAACTCTTGATATTCAATTCATCCAGAGAAGCTCTATTTTCATCATTTTCCTCTTCAGTTCTTTACTTTCCATCTCCTTACCCATCCCTCCCGCCATTTCTTATTCCTCCATCCATCCATTCCTGTTTAAAGAGCTCCTTACTTTATCTATCTATCTATCTATCTATCTATCTATCTATCTATCTGTCTATGTACCTATATCTCATCAGTGACCAACATTATGCACTTGTAATGAACTAGCTGAGAAAGAAATCAATAAAAATTCCATTCACAGTACCTTACAAATGAACTTGGAATCAACCTAAGGCGGTGATAGACTTCTAAAATGAAAATTACAGAAGAAAGAAATTAAAGAAGGCACTAGAAGATGGAAACACTAGCATGTGTAAGGAACAACAGCTTTGATATTGTTAAATGCCCATATTGCCAAAAACAGTCTACAGATCCAATGCAATCTCCATCAAAATTCCAAAGATAGTTTTCACAGAACTAGAGAAATAACCCTAAAATTTATGTAGAAGCAAAAAGATCCAGAATAACCAAAGTGATTTTAAGCAAAAAGAGGAACTGGGTGGAGGCATCATCAGACCCAGTTCCAAACTGTACTACAAGGCCACGTACCACGAGCAATGTGGGGCAGCCACAGAAACAGACGCATGGACATAAGGACAGAAACAAGCCTCTGACACGGTAGCCACCTGAAAAAACATATGCTGGAGAAAAGATAGTGTCCTTGGCAAATGGTGCTAGAAAAACTGGATATACATATGTAGAATATTGAAAGTAGATTTTTATCTCTCGCTCTATATAAGAATTCAAAATGGATTAAGGACCTAGGCATAAGATTTGAAACTTTGAAATTGCTAGAAGAAAACAGGGAAAAACAACTGAAGTTATTTATAGACTTGGCCGTGCCTCCACCAAGTGGCACAGAAATAACAGTCAACACACGGAACTACATCCAATTAAAGACTGCCCAGAAAGGGAAACAACCAACAAAGTAAGCGACAGTTTATAGAGTGAGCTAAATCTTTCCAGGTACTTTGCTGACAAAGGATTTCTCTCCAGAATTTGCAAAGAACTCAAAAAAATTAACACCAAGGGGATGAATAGCTCAATCAGTAAGTGGGTAAATGAATTGCACAGACATCTGAGAACTGTCAGTGCTTTTATAGGTCTCTTCTGGTTCCAAATGAATTTTATGAAGCTGCTGTGATAAAATTGGCAAGATATTGGCAAAAAAGCAGACATGAGGATGAAAGGAATAAAACAGAAGATGCAGACACAAGTCCAAATACAGCCAGTTACCTTATCTTTGACTAAAGAGTCAAACATGTTCACTGGCAGAAAAGTAGACTCTTCAATAAATGGTGCTGGAAAATTTGGCTCTCCACATGCCAAACACTAAAAGCAGACCCACGTCCATCACCATGCACTAAAGTCAAAATAGATCAGAGATCTAAATATTAAAACAGAAACACTGAAATTACTGGAAGACAAACTAGGTAGAAATTTGAACACATAGGGTTAGGCAGAGAGCTCACAAATAAAATCCAGACTGCAAAGGAAATACTACAAAGACTCAACAAATTGGATCTCACCTGTTAAAAAACTTTGGCACAACAAAGGAAATCACCAACAGAGGGAAAAGACAACTGACCGAGTGGGAAAAAGTTATAGCCATCTGTCTCTCAGACAAAGGATTTCAATCTAGAACATATAAAGAATTAAAAAAATCCCAGGCCACCCAATTTCAAAGACCCAATCCAAACATGGGCATATGAGATGAATACACACTTCTCAGATGAAGAAGCAGTAATGGCACAAAATATATGAAATATATTCAATATCACTGGTCATTCAAGACAGGCAAATTAATACAACAGTGCGACTCTATCTTACTCCAGAGAGAATGGCTGTCATCATGAACTCAACCAGTAACAAATGATGGCAGGGTTGTGGGAAAAAAGCAACCGTTCTCCACTATTGGTGGGAGTGGAGACTGATTCAACCTATATGGCAATCAGTGTGGAGATTCCTCAGAAAACTAGGCTTAGTGATCCCTTTGAACCCAGCTATTCCTTTTTTGGGTATCTTTCCAGAAGAATTAAAACATCACAGTACAGTGATATATGTGCTCCCATGTTCATGGCAGTATAATTTGTAATAGCTAAATTTTAGAAACAACCCAAGTGCCCATATAGGAATTGATAAAAAATGGGATCTTTTTATACAATGGAGTACTACATAGCCATAAAGAAGGACGACTGTGAGACTTTTATAGGTAAATGGATGCAACTCAAGACCACACTCATAAGTGATATAAATCAGATCCACACACATAAACATTGCTAGTGTGAGAAGTTGAACAAGTAAATAGACCCAAAATATACAATAGATCCTGTGAATTGGGAAGAAACTGTTCAAAAGGAAAGAGGGGCTGGTATGGGAGAAAGGAGAAAGGGAAAAATATGTGTACAAGGCAGTTAACATAGCTACATTGCTAGTTTCTCTTAGTTCATTGAAAAGAAACTTTGGTGCTAATATTGTTTGGACAATAATTCATGCCCATATACACTGAGTAACTCCTTTAAAAACAACAATAATCAATGCATCAATTATTGTTACTCTCTCATTTTCTTGTTTTGAAATTTTGTTTTTTTCTCTTTAAAATAAAAGAAGAAATGTCACTGACCAAGAGTATGAAAACGTTTGTTTCCATTTTATCCTTTCCCACTTTTCCCTTTTCCCTTTCTCTCCCCCACCCAGTTCCCTTTTCCTTTTGAACAATTGTTTCCTATTTCACAGTATCTATGATACATTTTGGTTCTTGTTTATACTTTCAGTTCCTCACACTGGAGAGACAAGGCGATATTTACACAGGTGTGGTGAGTTCGTACCTTCAGCTATCCATGTCTCAAGTTTATCCTTCTTTATGGCTGACTAGTTGAGAACAAAGAGTAAAATGGAAACAAAGCTTTGTAAATAAGCAGGGAAAATGTGTTGAAGGCATTAGAGGGGAAAAAAGAACCAAGGCTTATCACGTACAGGTGCAAACAATTCCCTGTGATGAATGTGGTCATTATGTGTAACTAAATGGTACCAATCAACGTAATGAAAAATACAAAGAAAACTCACTGTCTTTAATAAAAGAGTATGACGAAGTGTTCAGCGTTTTTAGGGAAATGCAAACCGAAGCATCAAGATTCTGCCTCACCACAGAGAGGGCCACGAATACATAAAACAGCAGACGCCGGTGTGGATGGAGGAAAAGCAGCGCTGCACACTGTTGCTGGGAACGCACACCAGCAGAGCCAGGATGGAAATCTGCGCCGAGCTTCCTCAAAAAGCAAACCGAGAACAAGGTGCACCCAGCTAAGCCACCCCTTGGCGTACACCTTAGCATGGCAGAGAGCTATGCTCACAGCTCACAGTGGCCACCATAGGGACACAGCCAGGTGCTCACCAGTGGGCGAATGGCTAAAAATGTGGCATGTGTAGGTGACCTCCTATTATGCAACCGTGAATAAGAAAACATTTTTATCATTTGCAGAAACATGGATGGTAATGGAGATAATCAGGTAAAGCAAAATAAACCAGATTCTGGGGAGAAACTGGGAAGGTAGAGGGAGGCAAGAGGAAGTAAAAAGAATTAAGATGTCTGTGCCCAGACCAGCTCCCCACAGGAGTGCAAGGAAAGACAAGTATGCATTTTCTCTTGAAATCTAAAAGTAAAGATGCCATGAATGTAGGAGTGAAATTATTGTTAAACAAGAGAAAAGAAATAATAGTATGAAGAGATAGTGAGGGATAGATATAATAAAAGTATGCTATCTGCATATAAGATATAACACATTGAAACAAACTCTGTGGATAATTAACATTCATTAACTAACATATAAGATTAGCATGCTTATACACCCAATTTGGTAAACGTTTCTTGGGTTTGTTGGATTTATCACATGGTTTTTCTCAAGTCTCCTAATGTGGTGTGGTGTATGCTGTGTTTTCTCTACCTACATCCACCAT